TCTATTAATTCATAGGTCAATGAAGGCAGTTTAAAAATTGACAAGATTTAGCTTAGACCTACATATATAAATCACTGTTTGCTTCTGTGTCCATTAGACTTGTATTAGAACTCAAGGGTAAAAATGACAAATGCCAAGAATAATTAATTTAATTAAGTGATTTTCCATCTATTTACAGTCCCCTTTCCAAAACTAAATTTCTATATTATTCTATTATATTTTTATTCAAAGTGTTTTTAAGTGGACCTGAGATTTTCAAGATGAAATTCTGGACACTGAGATACTCAAATATTCCAAAGATATTTTTATTAAGACATTTACTATTCTACTATAATCTGAGTAGCCACTTGACTAATAAAATTTAAGCATGATTCTATCCCAAACATGAGTTTTCATATAGAAAAAAATTCTAAAACTAAATGAAGAAATAAAAATTCACTTGTTTGGAATAAAACCATATAAACTGCTATCTTCAAATCCGCTAGAGATATTAATGACACAATGTTTTTTTCTATAAACAAATGAGATTAGAAACTCTTTTTTTTTTTTTTTTTGAGTCAGAGTCTCACTCTGTCACCCAGGCTGGAGTGCAGTGGCACACCCAAGGCTATTGCAGCCTAAACCAGCTGTGCTCAGGTGATCCTTCTGCCTCAGCCTTCCAAATAGCTGAAAAACTAGAGGTACATGCCACCATGTCTGGCTAAGTTTTTTATTTATTGTGGAGACGAGGTCTTGCCAAGTTGCCCAGGCTAGTGTTCAACCCCTGGGCTCAGGCCATTCTCTTGTCTCTGCCTCCCAAAGTCCTGGGATTACATGTATGAGCCACCACATCCGATTCAGAGACATCATACTTAAGGCCAATAATCAGTATGTTAATTTTTTGTCATCCCTAGGTTCTGGTAAAAAAGCCTCTATTTCTCCTTATCCTTCATCAGAAAATTATTATTCTCTTAACATTCCATCTGCGTTTTCTATCACGTTCCAGTAAGTGAAAACTCAAATATTTTGGTGAGTTTTTAACAACTCAGTGCCAGATTTTCAGATTAAAAACACTTTACGGAGGCATCTCAAACTGATAAAGGTTAAGAAGTCAATTGTACCTGGAAAACACTAATATAAACATGCCCTTGGTGTTATACTAAATTTAAATTCCATCCAATCTGGGCAGGGTATTATCACTGTGGTGACAAAGAGAAACAAAGTAGCAATAACATCACATACAAATGTATATACTGTCGTTCTGAGGAGGAAAAGTTCATCTGAGAATCACTCTGGGAGTTGAAATTATTTTGCGATCTCATACTATGGCCATTAGGAAACATCTTTCTCAATCCAACCAATATGAAAATTGTTTAGCACATTCCTATTGATAGACGGATGTGCTTCACTGTAACTTCCTTTTCTGTCTGCCCTCTGGTGGAAGTGCTGTCCCTTTAGATTTGATCAGAGGACATTTGACCAAAGTGGTGGCAGAAAAGCTGACTAACTGACAAAACTGTACACCTGGATAATGCTGCATGTATCACTATGGCTGTTAAGTACTGTCGTGCTCATTTCTCAGGTGTAAAAAAAAGTATTTATTTTCTTTTTCTTTGCTCGGTGGCCCCTGTCTCCAAGACTTTTATTAGAATCTTGAGACTATAAATATGTAAAATCCAGGAAGTTAATAATTTATAATTATACTAAAGCAAATTTAGGAGTACATTTGCTTTGATGTTATTTCTATTTCCAAATATGGAAATACTAGAAGTAACAGCAGGGGTGAGGGAGAGAGAAGAAATGGAAAGTAAATTTTATTATTTTTCTCTGTATTTCAGAATTCATTCCCACATTTTAGATCACAAATGTGAACTTACTAAAGATCATAATTGCTATTTGGCTTCCATATTCTCATGAGGGAATCCCATTTCCTAGTGGTTATTTGAACACTTTGCCAGGTCATCTATTTTTCTGGTTGGATCCAAAGAGGTAAGAAGGACAATGAAATATGAGTTTGCTGAACAATTTAAGATCAACAGAAGTGTAGTTGGGAAGGAAAGCATTTGTATGCAAAGAGCAAATCCAAAATATTACATAAATACTATTTTTTTTTTTTGAGTTGGAGTCTCACTCTGTCGCCCAGACCGGAGTGCAGTGGCCGCGCCCGGCGACCGCAGCCTCGACCTGCTGGGCTCCGGTGATCCTTCCGCCTCAGCCTTCCAAGAAGCCAGAATGACAGGCATGCACTACCACGCCCGGCTGATTTTTTGATTTATTGTAGAGATGAGGTCTCGCTGCCCAGGCGGGTCTCAAACCCGCGGGCTCAGGCAATCCACTCACCTCAGCCTCCCAAGGCGTGGGATTACAGGCTGAGCCACCAAGCCCGGCTACATAGATACTATTGACTTCTTTTATGGAGAAGACAATCAACTTTATAAATTAGTGGGTAAGATCTCCACCTTCAACCTTTAGGTAAATATTTGCTCAAATATTCTTTGGAATGTTTTAAGTTGATGCAGATGATTTTATTATAATTTTATGTTTAAAGGTTCAAATCTGTGTTCTTAAAACAAATATTCAGAAAATGCAATCATATCTGTGACCCATTAAAGGATCTAGTTCTTAGGAAAAGATAGGAATAGGAAAAAACAGATAATTATTTTTTGTTAAAGAAATGCAGGTTTTGTTAGGGCATTGGTCATTGTATGAAATCATAGATCTTAAATAATTCAACAAGTTTTATTTTAGCTGCCCAAGGGGGAAATGAAGTTCGATATTTAAAGAATGTACTATAAATCAAATTAGTTTAGTCAACAAATCCTAATTAAGCTTTTTACTCTGCACTTTGCTCTCATGGTTTAGCATTTTAAAACTTATTTACATATAACCCAGCAAAAATATACCGTGAAAATTTGGCCTCCATTGGATTTGTAAGATTTCTAAATCACTATCATGCAAACTCCAAAAATACTTGTTCCTAAATATATTAAAATTTAGCCACAACAAATCTTGGTGACCTCAAAGTACAAAGGTGTTTTCTGAGTGTGAAAGGCAATTGTTTACATGTGACTCAAAAACAGAAGTTTAGAAATTCATTTTTATTTAAAGGAAATTAAATTAGAATAATAATAAAATAAAAAAGATTTGATGAATGCATATATAGATAACATTGTTAAAAAGGAAAAAAAAACAGAAAAAAGGATGAACAGGATTTTTTTTTTAATTTTTAATTTTAAAGATGTGGGGTAGAATTCAGGGCTAGGTATACAAATATAAACAGAGAATTTTAAAGTATCTTAAAGTAATGGCCACAAAATCAGTTAATTTAACATATGTCTTTGGAGACATGTCATATCCGTATCTGAATCCGTTATATCTAGAAGGGACCTAACATACACAGTAGGCCCTCAAAAAAGAATTTGTTGAACTGAACTATGGTGAAGAGGCAAATTAGATAGCAAAGCTCTTTATTATTCTGACCATTTATTTATGAAAATTATTAGAGTAGAAAGGATTTAAATCTAGACATATATACTGCCTGAGTGCTCAGAAATATTTATTGAATGAATAATGAATGGATGAATCAATTATAGGAGTCAAACTTGATGTCCAAGTTCTGATATAGATTGGATGCATCTATCCTTTAGAGTGAAAAGCTCACTTAGCATATAGAGATTACTGCCCAATAACCTGAAAAACCTCTCTCTGACCAGATCACATTTACTTTCCTTCCACACAACTGAGCTTCTAATGGAACAGATTACACTCAGAATGGAAAGGCCTGTCATATTATTGGTTTATCCACTTAATACTAAGGACAGGAACCCACAGAACTTCCTGTATCCAAAGCCACTTGCAAGAAACCAAGCAGTCAGGTTTCAACAACATTTGAAATCTTATCAATCATTTTGGGATAAGAAATGCAAGATTTTAATTTTTGACACATTATTTTTTCATGAAGCTTAAATTTCTCTATAATTAGCAAAAAAGGTTTAATAATTTGCCTTTTCTTAAAGAAAAGGAAAAAAAATTAAAACAATCCAAAGCATTAACTAGAAAATTCTATTTATTTCTTTTAATCTTTGCAGAAATAAGATCCTGACTCAACTCCAGCTTTTAATTCTATTATACACAGAAATTCGATGATATCTGTTCTCTATTATATACATATAAATGTTTAACTTATTGTAAATCTCAAAACAGACGACTTGGGAAAGTTGGTAGGAAATAATCAGGGACTGCAGTTGCCTGCTGGACACTGTCTCATATATAACTCACTATAAAGAAAGACTATAAAACATCAAAATGTATCTGAGTCCAAAAGGGGATCACACTGAAGCTTCTGATTGCCAAAGTCCTCTTGACTCCAGCTGGTAGATACATTTTGAAGCATCACAGCTGTTGGCATGGCATGGTACAGTACTAATTTTGTGTTCAATATACTATATTGTTGCACAAGTTCTCTAGACACACAATGAACAAAATTAGTATAAATATAATACCATGTTAACTGCTGTTAAAATCCCATGGAATTCTTATTGATTGATTGATTTTGGTCCATTAGGTTCAAAACAACTCATGAGGTTTGAGTGATATTTACTAATCCTTATGGTTTTGCTTTGGGTTCATGCTTTTTTTGATGTCATTCCAAAATAGGTCTTTTCATACCCTATCTCCTGTCAATTTCATATCTGCCACCAGCTGCTATACATTTGCTGTTCTAGTAGTAAATACAGGAATTTGACTGCCCAAAGTTAGGTCATACCATTTACTTTTTGTTAGGTATCAAGAGACTGACTTTAAATTTTCCTGGGATCTTATTGCTCCTTCCATGGGATTTGATGCTCTCGTTTATATATTAATATTTATATATGTATACTTATACATATATAGATATAGAAAATATACACACATTAACACACTATAATATATATATATAAAACACATGTATAATTACATATATGTATGTACTGTTTTTTGCAAAAGAAAAAAGCAAGCAAAACAAGACTGACCTGACCTACCTGTACTCGGCTCACATTCAACGAAGTCTTCATCATCACTTGAACATTCAGCAGATGAAACAAGGTCATCTGATGTTGGCTGCTTATGTCAAAAATAAATAAATAAATAATGGGGTAAAGGGAAGAAAGAGAAAAGAGAGAGAGAGAGATAAGGATACCATTGAATAAAGACATCAAAGACATCACAGTGCCCCACCTCTCATTAATATTACTATTTCTTTTTTTCTAAAGAAGGCTATGCTATAGAGTGAAGAATGTTTAATTCCAGTGTATCTGTGAATAGCTCCAGGTCCAGACACTCTGTGGGGGTCTTCTGTGAAGCTGAGTGACCCAAGGTGGTTCCAGAAGGCTCGATCTTATCTAATTTCTATACATGTCATAGTACAACCTCTCTCCTGACTTTTAATTTCAATTTTGAGGATCAGAAGGACAAGAGAAGGCTGTTGTAAAGGATAGGTAGTACAAGAGTACAAGCCAAAGCAGAAATGCACCGTGGCTTTGAGGGAGTTTCAGTGCATTTGGTATGCAGTCTCAGGTGTATGACTTGGTGGTTGTGAATCTACAGGCTAGCATTATTAATAAATGCTGTGGAATGCATTCTGTTCAGGAATAGCATAATGTCTTTTATCACTAGTAGCAATTTCTTCATGTAGTTGCTGCAATAGGTGAATTAGTAATGTGGACCAGAAATGTGATACTCCACGACAGTCCCTGAGCACAGGTAAGGCTGTTTCTCAAGACTGCAGGAAAAAAAAAAAATTTGACTGCAGCAATAGGAGTTCAATTTGAGACACTTTTTAAAATTCTGCTTCCTACCGAAACTCCCCAATGCCAGAGAATCCATCACAAGAAATATGAGGACTGTGAGTACTGGCAATAAAAAGGTCCCTTGCCATGTGGTAGGTGAGAAGACTACTTTCTGTACCTGGTACATACAATGAATGAATCTACAGATCTTATGCAAAAAAACAGGTTTTCAGTCTACTATGTGCATGAGAGTACTCAATATATCATAGGTGTCCAATATTGCTTATTTCTTTCCCCTTAGTAATATGAACTGACTTGTTGATCTTTGCATTCCCAATACACTCAAGTCTGGATCCATACTCAAAAGGAAAAGGTAATGAAGTCATTTCCTCCCTTCTGTTGAACAATTACTACAAGCCAGATGCTGTGCTAGATGTGTATATATACTTTTTAGTTATGGCAATTATTAATTAATTAGACATAATTCTCACAACCATCCTTTGGGAAAGGAATGACTATTTCATGTTCAACTAGAATCAAAGGTGGACAAGTTAAGTGAGTTGCTGAAGGACACATAGCCAGTAAAACACATAGTGGGGATTTGAATAGACACATCCTTGTCAAAGTCTGTGTCTGTGGTTCACAATAGACTTCTTTATATCTGGCATTATATAATATTATGGACTGAATTATGCCCCCTCAAAATTCATATGTTGGAATTGTAACCTCCAGTACCTCAAAATGTGTATTTGGAGATAGAGTATTAAAGGGGTGATTAAGTTAAAATGAAAACATTAGGATGTGCCCTAATCCACTATGACTTGTATCCGTGTACAAAGAGGAGATTAGGACACAGACATACATAGTGGAAGAAAGACCATTCGAAAACACAGGGGAAAAGGCAGCCATCAACAAGTCAGAGAGTCCTCAGAAGAACCCATCCTGGTGATACCATGACTTCAGGTCTAGTCTCCAGAATTGCAGAAATACACTTCTATTATTTAAGCTGTCTAGTTTGGTGCACTTTGTTGTGATGGCCCAGTAAACAAATACAGGTGACAACACTGATACTTAGTATTTCCAGAAAACATCTCTTTTTAAAAAATAGACATGCTAGATACATAATTACTAGACACAGCAAAGAACAGTAGAAAAATCATGTTACATCATTCATTTCATTAATGGTGGCAGAAAGGTGCCCTAAGTATTATAAATCTTTTCATTCTACATCTGACAGGGAGATAGTTTGAACCCTGATTCTCCTTAAGGTTAGCAGGAAAAAAATTATTTTAAAGATATATTTTTAATTAGACATTATTGAATTGTGTTTCAGTTCCAGTAAATGAAGCTGGTATTTATATCCTAGAGCACCATTGTTTGTGTTGGAGAAGTGGTAAGCATATTCCCTTGGTATTTCCTGCTTTGATAGGGTTTATACAGGTTAACTTTCAATCACTTAGGGAGAGGAGCTAATAGGAGAATAAATGTTAACTGTATAAATGAAGAAGGCAATTATGAGAGGCAAACACCATTTTGGATGAGCCACCATCGTTGTCTGATGGTTCTTAAGCATGCATTCTCTGTGAGGGCAATACCTCCTCCAAGGCAGTAAAAATTGGCTTGGCTGGGGGAGAATCTTAAATATTTGAGGCCCAAACTCAAAGGAGGTTAAATGGGAGGCGGCCTAGCAGATTGTGGTAAGAATGGGCCTGACTCTAGACAGCACAACTGTGAATCTCAGCTCTTCCACTTAGAGTGAGAAAGTGACAAGGCTGTATGTGTGTATGTGTGTGTGTGTGTGTGTGTGTGTGTGTGTGTGTGTGTGTGCGAATTATTTAAATAAGTAACTAAATCAATTAAACAGCCACTCAATCATTCAGTCAATCACAGTAATTCCAAGCCTGGTAGCCACTCCTAATTTAAACAAACATGATATCTATGCACAGTATCTTTTGTGATTTAGACTGCATTAAAATCCTCCTTTGTGGCAATAACTTATTACCTCCATTTGATGGTACACATACTATTTCTGGTTGTACCTGCCATGAGGAATGATAAAGAAAAATATACTCATAAAGAGCTTTAAAAATCACTGTAAGATGTTCTGTTTCCAATGGCTCTGGACACAAACAAACTGTGTGGGTCTTATATGAATTCAGTTTATTCCTTTGTGTCCCTCAAACCTCATCATCACCATTTAATACCACAGCCAACTGAAACTCCCAAAGCCATTACAAACATCTCAACCCTTCCTTGCCCAATGTGGTAACCAATGCCTTCCTAAAGAACCTGGCATTGAACACTGGCCACACCTGCCATAGAACACTGTGTAGCTCAGAAGGACTTGCTCTGTCAGGGCCATCAAGTCTCAATTTGCAAAAAAGCTCAGGATTGTGAATGCTACATTTAGAATCTCTCTTTGTTGTTGTTGTTGTTGTTGTTTTGCCACTTCTGTCCCTGAACATCAAGAAAAAACAAAAATTACAAATCAAGGCTTTTGGATGATAAGAGCAGCTTAGAATCATATCCTAAAGTAATGGCAATTTGATTCAAAGTTACTCTCAGAAAATCCAGCGCTTTTCTTTAGCAGCCTTTTTTTTTTTTTCCTTTCTGACTTTGTCCTTCCTCAGATTTAAGTAAATGCAGGGTCTGATGCTGAACCTTGAAAGAAAAGGCACACTTCTTTGATAATTGCTTCCCATGGCTGGTGAAATAGGTTTCACTGTTGCAGATATGCACAGATTCAGAATAGCATTGCTACATGAGAGCAGAACAAAGGACTTTTGTCTTTAAATAAAATACAGTAGCCTTAGGCTTGTATGTATGTGTGTTTTCCCATAATCACAACCATTTTCCATAATTACTTTTAATTTATTAGAAAAAAGAACAGTTAGTATTACTGCAAATAAGTGGGTATCTGAACTATCTAGAATCATGTTTACTAATAACAATTACCACTTATTAAACACTTGCTATATTTAGTTTTTATTACAAGCAGTGAATGGGTATTAATTATTTTAGTAATCACAATAATCAAGGGAATAGATATTTGTTGTGACTTCTGTATTTAACTGCCCAAAATCCAAGCTCCTTCAGGAAACAGTATTGCTTTAGGAACCTCTTCTATTCATACAGATAGATATGTTGGGAGTATTTAGCAAAATGCCTCCAACATCATCTTCTCCACATTTTTTTTCCCTCATGATTGTCTAAAGTTCTCATAATTCCCACTGTCTAAGCTTAAAGTGTTTACATATTATGGTTCCCCTATGTCAAATACCAATATTCTCTGTGTGCTATTCAAGTAAAAATAAAAATTCTTGGATAACATAGTGAGACCCTTTCTAAAACAAAAAACAAAAAACCAAAAAAATTAGGCAGGCCTGGTGGCATGTGACTGTAGTCCCAGCTACTCAGAAGGCAGAGGTGGGAGGATCACTTGTGCCTAGGAGTTCAAGGTTGCAGTGAACTATGATTGTGCACCTGCCTGGACAACAGAGCCAGACTCTGTCTCTTAAAAAACAAAAACAACAACAAAAAAAACTATAACCACCCACAAACCAAATAGTTTTGATAGTGTCTGGGCTGCTGGATCTACCAATGGTTTTATATGACTGGTGGTACTTTTTTCACTCCTTCATTCATTTATTCATTCACTACTTTAATAAATATGTGTTGAACTATGTGTTAAGTACTATAACTGTTATGAGGGATAAAGTGAAAAATAAGATGTAGTTCCTCTGCTCTGGGAGTTCACAATCTCTGGTGAGATAGCCAAGTAAACAGGCAAACTTGACATAGCAAATTAAATGCTACGAGAAAAGAAAGCTAAGGTGCTGAGGGAGCAGACACCAGGAGACTGGCGGCATCTCCCAGGCAGAAGGCAAGTGGCAGATGAGCCCTTAGGGACAGGCGGTGGTGAGTCAGAAGGAAGAAAGCAAGGGTTGTGTGTGATCAGGAGGAGAAGGGCATTCCAGGTGAAATAAACAGTATTTGCAAAGGCTCAGAGATATGAGAAAAAATCCTGTAGTACAGGATGACTGAGGAGATGAACTAGAATGACAGTGTGACAGCTACTTGAGTTACCATGTTGTTTTTGAAAACTGAGGTAATGAGCATGAATTTAATGTCCCGCCCTAGCAGACCTCTCTTGTTTTTTCCTGGATGATTTTTTATTTTAAACCAAAGAAAGAAAAACCCTGGAGCACGGGCCAGCTGGTTAAAAGTCATTATCGTCCTCTCTATTCCTTTTCCATCACTCACTCAACTCAGATTCAATACAGAAAGAACTTCAGAATGTGGTAAGAGTGTGTAAATGTGATACTGATACTC